ATGTATCATTATAAGTGATCTATGTATCAATCTTCACTGAAATCTAGTGTGAAAAATAACACAGTAGAAAAATACCTATAATCTTTCTCCTTACATTTTCAGATGCTGTAGGATCATGCCATAAAATGGGAAGGCAAAGCTGCCTCTCAATTACATACATAACCATACACTTCTAATGCTGTCATATTGCTAGATTGAGGAGAATTTTCTAATATTGTGTCGTTCATGGATAAAAGGATCTATGAGCTGAAACATGCAGTCATGTATATATTCAAAAAGTATAATTTTCAAATACTACTAGAGATTTTTCCAGTCCTTTTGAATACTGTATATGGTTTGTGATCTCCTAGTAAATCTAATCAGAAATTTGGCCTGAGGATGAACTCATAAAGCAAGAAGTAGCTGACTGCGATATTCCGTTCCAGAAAATGCATTATTGAGAATATGGATTATAAAGTTTATTGTTTATACTGTCTCTGTATTGTTTGTAACAAATAAGCTTCACTTTCAATGTATAGATAAGTGTTGCTTAACTAAAACATAATTTCTGTAATGCTCTGTTGCCAGCTGAAAATAGCTATTAGGTGTTTGCTCTTCCCAACAGGAAATTGCACACTCTCTGGTGAAACAGGAGGCTGTGCAGCTGTATGAAAAGCTCCATGAGCTCGAGGAACGTCGAGATCAAATGATTGCTGAGGATAAGAACATGGAATCTCCACAGGAGGAAAGAGAGAGATTACTAAAGCAGGCAAGAATGTAAAATTTTATTATGGAAAAGATTCTCTGAGTCAGTGTTTTAGGGGATGATAATATTTGAAAATACTTGGGTTTGAATCTTACCTTTATTTGCTCTTTAAGCAGCACAAATCATCTGAAATTAAGAACAGTTAATGAATTGGCTGGATGGGATGTTTCATGTTCAGCTAAAGCAAAATTGGCACAGTCTGCTTTTCAGCTGGGTGACTTGTTCCAGTTCATCAGTCATGTTGGTGCAGGAAAACTGATCCTATTGAACAATTCTGTAACATAACTCCAGAAGGTACCTTGTGGGTTACTGACCAGACATACTAAACTAGGAACAATTTAGTTAGTGTACAAATGTCTATGCTGTGTTATGTAACTATCCATAGATAGTATACGGATTATTGGACTGAACAACACTGATATGTGTGTCGATTTTTAAATGTGTACTGAGAAAGCAGGAGAACATCTGGAAGGCATAACACTTAAATCATATCATTTCTCTTCAATGAAGAGCCATTACTGGACAATGTGACCGCAAGTTTGTGATTTCATCTGCTTAATTTCTATTCACTGTATACTGGATTAAGAAATCGTTTTTCATTTTCCTTTTTTCATTTGTAGGTTTTATTTCAAGTTGTTATACTTTTTTATAGGTTAAGAACGATAGTCAAGAAATAGCCAGCATGGAAAGACAGTGAGTAATCCTATTATACTGTTTCTATAAATTACATTTAGACCCTAAAGACTGATAGTTGAATTCTATCACATATTTCTATGGACTTCTAGAACTTCACCACATTTTCACCAACTTCTAGTGTTAACCTTCCACAGAGAACAGGATATATCCTTCTGTTTCAGCTAAACAACTTCTATAGTGATAGGACGTTTAGATCTGCATACTAAGATACTTCCTATCCTTACAACATGCCTTGAGAATATAAATTGGTAATAGCACTGACATAAACTCCTTTAAGGCTGAAGAAGACACTCATCCTTAAGAGCTACTCATCCGGGACTTCTGTGAAGTTGAGCCTACGTTATGCTGCAGTCCCATTTTGAAGAGTGTGTTTGTGTTCTTAAAACCTAAGTTGCTTACAGAAAGTTCAATTCTAAGGAGTAATGGGGCATTGCTTCTTTATTCTTGGGAATCGGACCTTTCTGAAGATTTGCCAGAAACTCTGGTAAATGTTATAATAAATAGTAATGTATTGGGGGAAGGGGATAAAACAGTAAAATATTTTTGTGATTTTGAGCCTTTTGGTTTCTCTGTCTTTACAGAAAAATTAAGATAATTCCTGAAATCTCCTAGAAACAATTTTAAATTCTTTTAAGCAGTATTCCCAACTGTAATCATTGGTTAATTTCTAATGCATTGGCAGCTTTGATTGGATATTAAGTTGATTAGCAGAATTTCTGGAAAGAAAAAGTAACAGAGAATTATATTTGAGAATTTACATAGAAATGTTTTTCAGGTAATTTCCTTTTTCACTTCAATTGATTATGTAGTACAGTGTTTTACTTGGCAGCTCTTCATGGATTTTAGTGAACATGTAGGTAATTTTTAACGAATACAGTTCCCTGTTGCACTTTACCAATTGCAGTACCTCTGCAAAGCTGTACAAAAACCAGCAGAGGGACCAGTTGACTAAATTAAGAACTACTGATGACTCAACAAAAAATGTTATTAATAAAAAAGTGCAGCAGTAGTTATATTTAATAGATACAGGGACTAAAGTGACAAGTGCTTCACATATACCTTTTGTAATAACAGCAATCCTCATGATATTCTTTTGGTTTTAATAAACTTAGGTTTGCTACTTTTATTCTTGATTTTTCTCTCCATTTTTGTCTAAAAAAATAGGTATTTTACAACACATTTTACAACCTTGAATTTCATTATCTATTTGTCAGGCTGACAGAAGTAAAAGAAAAAACAAACCATTTTAAAAAGGTTATTCAACGACTTGATATGGATCTGGAGAATCATCAAGGTAATATGACTACGAGAGCTGCTGCTGTTTGTATTATAACACATACTGTTATGGACATTAGTTGCTTGAAGCTTTTAGGCTATGTAAATGTCCATTATTCACCATCAGAAGAAGGTTTTGTGTCTAAGGGTGCAGGCTTCTTTCTGGATGTGAGAAATGGGGAGTACCTCCCCACAGTGGCGCGTTCATCAAGTTCATATTAAGTAGTAAAAGTACATATAAAATACTAGTACAGCTGTGTGGTTTTTTTGCCCCAATTTTATTTTTAGGACTACTTGAGGAATAGAAGTTTCTCGTACTGGCAACATTGCAGAAACTTCTTGGGTTGATCTTTGCAAGAAGAGTTTTGGAGCTGCCTAGAAATCCCATTAGCTTGGTAGTTTACCTCCAGCAAACACCAGCTGTAGTACATTAGGCTAGGTTAGGTGGGATTTGTTCTAGCACTGGAAGTTAAGGTTCTGGAGGAAGTAACTTAGTTTAGGCATAGACCCTTAACAGCTGTGGAAGATTTCCTTAAAATGGAAATTCATCCCACTGAAAACCTTCTAATTATAAGGAATCTTGCTGAGATAGGAGTTACATAAATATGTGCATACATTCCAGAAAACTTTGTAACAGGTTATTTAAATTCTACAGGACTAATGAATTAATGTGTTTGTGTCCTTTTTACTTTATACCTTTTTTTGGGTGATGAGTGTGAAATTTAGCTGTAAATTTCTTCAAGGTGAAGAAATATTTCTAAAGTTGACCCTAAACAAATATTTGATGTTTCTCATCTTTTGCATTACAAAATATTTCAGATTTCTCAAGATATTTCAGTATTTTTGTGCAAATAATATATTAAGACTGTTTTATTAGTGTTCTTGTTTCCAGATAATATCATTGCCAACTTCACTATTCTGCTTTAATTTTTCCTTTTTGTTTGGCTTGCAACTCTTTTTTTGTATCTTTGGGGAAATGCAGAAGGTAAGAAGTGAGTTGCTTTTCACATTTTATACTGAGGTTTACACACACAATCATTCACTGCTGGACTGTATGTCTTTCACTGTTTTAGAAAAAGACCTCTGTTGAAGAAGATGGTTTAAAGCATATGTAGGAGAAAGCACGTGCTCTCTGTCAACATACCGGGAACAGTCAGTTTATTCAGAGTAAAGTCACCTTGTGGTATAATATAGAGGCAATGTTACCTGTTGGCATAACACCGAGGGAATAAAGAAGATATTCATAAGGAGCTTTAAGACACAGCAATCTAAATGCCCAACACCTTCTTCTGTAGTGAATGGAGAGAGAATCCCAGAGGGATATTCATACTTCTGCTCTAAATCAGCATCTTGGTGTGTCCTTGAGATTCCTGTCCTCCCTCCCTCGCTGGTCAGCTTACTTCTGGCTCAGGATTTAAACTATTTACTATAAAGCATTCCCAAAACTTCAGCTCCTAAACTTTTTTGGTTACATTTAACGTAAAATAGCCAGTAAAAAAAAAATTACAACTAAGGATTTTTTGAATGTTTCAGGAAAAATATTTCAGTGCTAGGAACGTTTTTAAGCAGGAAACATGAAATAAACAGACCATAAATAGAAATAACAATTTGTAATTTTCACTTAAGAAGTGAAAACTTTTACTAAATAAGTAAAAAAACTATCCAGTTATTATATATTCCATATATTAGCAGTTACTTTTAACTAATTAGTCAAAGTCAACATTAACTCATAATAGAATAGACTTAACTCTTCATAAATTGCACGAGAGGCTAAGATATTGATGCAATGATGACATATTTTAAAGGAAACTTCTCTGTAAAGACATTTTAAAGGTTGTGGTCTTTATTTCAAATATTTTTTTTCTTTAAACACTTTGCATATCATGTAGCTTTCTGCTTCATGGCTCACTGTAACTAGACTTTTTAAGAGTAGAACAGACTGAGTTATTAAGTACTGGGGACTTGCCTTGCAAAATGAGATTCCAGCAACGAACAAAGCCACAGCTGCAAGGAAGCTGAAGCAGAATTACAGTCCCTTAGGGGCCCACCGTGTTCTTATTGTTTGTATACACTAGATAAAAAGGAAAGCATGGGGGTGTACAAGTAAAACAACCTGGAGAAATTTGCTTGCTCAATTATATCTGTACCTACTTCTTTTCCTTTTTATTCTTTAGTTACAAGATTATGCTGAAAATTAATCAATGACCAAGACTCAAACAATTAAAAATTAGATGTTTGAAACTTAACATTACCCTTAGGAGCTGAATTGTCTCCTTGAAACTTGTGACAAATGTATCAGGTCTCTCACTTTACTAGTACATTTTAATTAAGAGCTATTTATAGTCATTAGTTGGATTTAAAGATGGAGTGAATTATGTACTGTATGTTATTCATTATTCCTAATACCAGTATAAAGAATGTGTATGGAAATGTTCTTTTAAACATAAATGTAGAAAGCTTTCTGTGCATTTTATTTTCCTATAGCATTGCTTGTACAGTTTTCCTATTTATTTCCCTGAAATTGTCACACTGTTACTTACAAGATGCGTATCCTAATGGAAGTCCATTCTAATATGTGAATGCGCCATTGAAATGTACCATGTGTTAAACAGAGCTGCAGAAAGTTTTAACTAACCATGGTGCCCGAATACACAAAAGCATTTGTTCTCTATTATTGAAATTCACCTGACTTCAGAAAAATCCTGCAAAATTCTTTTGTTCAAACCAAGTATTTATCCCACTCTTATTTATAAAAAATTCTAACCTCTAAAAGGTTCTAACAATTACATTGAGGTTGATCTATTAAGCTAATTTTTTTTTTCTAATATAAAAGTCTGTATGACATAGTCAGTTGAAGTGACTACGTTAAATGACATGGGATGAATTCTGTAGTTTCTAAGCATGTAGAATTTTTATTTTTAAAACTGACACTATGCCTACCTAAAGGAATCCAGGACTGCGACAATATAAAGTTAAAGCAATGTTGTATCTCTTGCAGGAGAGGAAAATTGGAAATACAAGGAGCTGAAGAAGAGGGAAGAAAGCATGGACAGTAAGTTGTCTGATATATTTTAACCAGGCCTAATTCCACTAAAATATAGGTTTTCTTGTATTGTTAACAGCTAATTTAGAGCCAAAAAGAACTGATGTCCTGATCTTTGCATAAAGTTTATGTGATCTACCTTAGGACAAGATAATTGATATTAGGACTTCAAGGACAGTCACAAATATTTGGAGCATCTTTCAAGGCTTGGGAACAGCTTTGTTTTATGAAAGCAAGGCTGAAATAAATTTTAAAATTAATTTAAATAAAAGATGTATAAAACCAGCTGTTCAGGTTTGATTAAAAGCAGAACTTAAAAATGAACAAGCGTCAACATCATGTAATTCTTTAGAATTAAGGCTTCTCATATCTGTTTATTCAAGATGAAAGCTACTAAAGCTTTCTTCTGTATTAAAAGGTTCTAATGTTGTAGAGACCTCAGCAGCAACTCACAGAGTATGAGAACAGAACTGGTTTTGCAATATACCGTATTTCTAATACTCTGTAGTAAGCAGCTTACAAAAAAAGCTGGTCTGTTACTCAGCAAAAGGGGAAAATGATCAGTAAATATGCCATGAAGGCCAAAGTATTTAATATCTTTTTGCAACAGTGTTCTCTAAAAATGTTCATTATAACTTTCAGCTAGCATGATACTGAAAGAATTTCCTTACTGTCTCGGCTGACAATAAGGAAAGATGGGTAAGAGTGTACTTAGAGAGTTTCTGCATTTTCGAATTACCTGATTTCCTGAGAAGCAGAAACTCACTTGATCTTGATTTTCAGTATGAATACAGACCATACAGGGCCTCATGATCCTCCTGACTTTTTGTGGTTTGGTTCTGCCTCTGCCCTTCATCAGAGGATATTGATGCAGCTGCGGAGCTATTTGAGATTAACTGAGAGGTTTGGGGGAACATGCAGGAATCTTAAAGATGGGAAAAGAGCATACAGGGCCTCATGATGCTCCTGACTTTTTGTGGTTTGGTTCTGCTTCTGCCCTTCATCAGAGGATATTGATGCAGCTGCGGAGCTATTTGAGATTAACTGAGAGGTTTGGGGGAACATGCAGGAATCTTAAAGATGGGAAAAGAGCAAATAAGAGAACTGTCTTGAAGAAGAGGAGCCAGGGAAGTATAGACCAGTCAGCTTAATTTCAATTTCCAGAAGTACTGTGGAAAAAATAAACAAGCAAAGAAACCGTAAACATTACAGAAATAGGAATATGAATAACACTAGTATTGATTTGTCAAGAGCAAACAACTAATTTCCTTATTTGACAGAAAAATATTGCAGAATAAGGGAGGAGCAGCAGATGATGTGTACTTGACTTCAGTACATCTACTGCTGTCTCGTGGTGTTCTTAGAAGCAAGGTAGGGAAATATTGTCCATTATTAACCTATACTGTGCATTTGATGAAAGAATTATTAATTATGAAGGATTCATTGCCAAGGTAGAAAGAAGTACTGAGTAGAGTTTTGCAGTGTGTTGGATGTTCAGGTTAGTCAATATTTTTATTAATCAATTGAATGATGGGAGAGAGAGTCAATACATAGTTTCACAGCAAATGCTGTATCAAAAAAGCTAAAATCATGTTGGAGGACAGGGTTAGAATTTAAAATACTTATGGCAGATTAGAAATAAAATACAAAAAGTTCAAAACGGACTAAGTGTAAGTTTATACACTTGGGCAGAGTAATCAACAGCAAAAATACAGAATAGGGAGCAGCTCTGTGGTATGTCTCAGAGTAGTAGTGAAAGACAAAAAGAACATGGCTCAGCAGTACCATACTAACATGGAAGAGAAAATAACCACAGCAGTAGGTATACATAAGAGTGTAATTTGTCAGACGCATGAAATAGCCTTGTTCTCTGCATTGAGGAAGGCTTCAGCGGGAGTATTGTCTCTAGTTCTGCCCATAAAGGAAGAGTAATTCAGTCCTGAAAAGAGACTGATGAGGGACATGGAAAGCATGACCTGCAAGGATATACTAAAGAATGATTCTTTTATTTTAGAGAATTTATCAAAGTCATCAAATGTGTAAAAAAGCTGTGTCAAATAATAAGTGAATAATCTACCTCTGCATATACATGGAGGATAGAAAAAGAGTAATACACAAATAATTGCAGAAACATTTTGGGTTGGATATTAGAAAAAACTTTCTAACAATAAAACTCACCAAGCATTTAAATAAATTGTTCAGGAGGACTGTAGAGTATCATGAGCTGTCTATAAGAAGAGTATAGACAAACATCTGCATTACTGATATACAGTTGGTTTTGTCCTGGAGCAAGTGAATTTATTAGATGACCTCTTGCAGTCTCTTCCATTCAATTTTTTATGAATCTGTGAAACATATAGCGCTCAAATGAACTAAGGTCAACCAGGCAGGTGTGATGAAAAAGAAAGTTGCTTGCAGAAAGAAATTAGATGAGATGAGATGTAAATATGTGCCTTACTTAATGTTTCTTAATAAATTCAAAAAGGGTTGGAAAAAATCACATCTAAGAATTTCAAGTGTCTTTCATCCTGAAATCTGTGCCTCAGAAGCAGCTCTGTAGTATCTTTGTATTGTCCCCTGGTTCCAATAGTGCACATTTTCCCCTGTAGAAGTTTTAGAGACTGTACACTGTGAAGTGTCTCTGTTAACTCTTTCGTGGATAGCATTGCAGATGATGTCAGATAGTACAATAGTTTTCTTATCCAGAAATGTTTTATTAGTAAAGAATTTTAAAAATAGGTATTTTTTTAAAATCTTGGATGTTCTGGGATACACAGTTCTCTAGTCAGTCCTCATCCCTTCAGGATTCATCAGTATTTCCATTAAGTAGTTCCTCCTGTCTTCTTTCTCTCTTCCCAAATAATTCATCTTGAATTTACTGTTTTCTATTCCTTCTTGCTCAAACAAGCACTTGCTTAAAGCAGCACTTCTCCCCTTTTTCAGTCAGCTAGAAAGTTTGCAAACTCTTACGTTTCCTGAGTGTTCCTGTGTATATGAACCATGTTTCAGGAGAAGAACCAGCTGGAGAGGGTTCATCATAACTTAAAGCCCTGGGTGGCATCTTGATAGACCTCTGACTTTCATGTGATGTTGCCAGCACATTTTTTTCAATATGTCTGTCACCAGGAATACAATGTGGTATGCGTAGAACACAAATACAGAGTGCATACCACCATTACAACTGTCTTGTCAGATTCAGTTAGACACTTACTAGAATGAACATAAATTAAAGGCGTAGCAAAGAGACATCATACAGAAGGAAAGAGATAATACAAGGTGAATGTTGGTGTCAGGTCCTTAGCAGTGTTTGGCATTTAGTCCAGGCCATTAGAGGTAGTGAAGTCACCCATTTCCTTTATTTCATAGCCCACTTTGGTAGCTTTCAGAAAAATGAAGACCAACAGCTGCTGGGACAAGCATTCAGAAAGGTGTCAGAAATGATGGTGGTGAAATTTCTTTCCCATTGGCTGACAATCCTCACCTAAACAGTGTCCAAGAAGGTGGTGACCTCATGTCATTAATCAGTCAAATATGTGCCTCTGGAAACATTGTCCTTTTTTTCATTCCAACCTGTAAGTTGACAAGTTTCAAGGACTCTACCACCTGCCTCTTAAATAAACTGTTAATCTTGAAGTAACCCCTGTGAAATTGTACAGCTTATCAATTTAATACAAAGTTTTGACTGGAAACAACATGGGCTTGTGCTGTACCCATGCAAATAGCAGCCTTCTTTATCATGTTTGTTGATCTCTAGATTTTCTTGAGACTTTCGAGGAGGTGAAGAATCAGGAATTGGAACGAAAGGCCCAAATGGAAGCCAACATTGTTGCACTCCTGGAGCACTCAAGCCGGGTAAGTGCGTTTCCCTCCTCCTGTGGCAAGCCAGGAGTTTATAAGCACAGAATAAGAGAATGAATAGCTAAAGATAAACTGACATTATCCAGTCAGTATCTGCATAATAATCTCTTAAAAGGATTAAACATTAACATCCTTAAAAGGATTACACTGCTAAGCTGTACATGGGTACAGCTGTAGTTCAAAAAAAAAAAAAAAATTTGTTTAATTTCTCTTCGTCTCCGGGGAAAGATTTTTGAACATTAGATAATACTTGTGACCAGAATAAAAGAAGAGCTTGCATAATTGCTGTAACTCATCATCATTGCTATAATGAACGTTATTCCATTCATGATAAACTTTTCCAAATTCTGCAAATAAAACTACTTCAATATTTTGTTTACCTAAAGTCTTCAAATGGGTATTCTGTCACTACTATTAAGTAACTGACAATATTCCAATTGTCTTTCTGATCTACTAAAATTATGTTTGGAATACTCTGCTGTGTAATATTTAATGTAAACACTTTAGAAATTGTTCCCATTTGCAGACTGCCATTTTTTTGCACTTTTAAAACATTTTTGCTTTTAACATTTTTGGTTCCCATGGATTTTTTTTTATCTTACAGAAGTCTTTCAACTGAGTAATACTTTATATCATCACTTTGTCTTCTGACTCTTTCAGTGTGGTATACCATGAGGTATATTTTAGGCAATGACACTTACTTTAGGAAAGATCAATACAGTGACACAGTTTACACTTGCTGCATTTTTGTTTCATCTTCGCTGGCCTATCAGTACAAATTTTATCAAAAGTTGGCAGAATGAAAATTGTTCACATTTACATCAGTTCAGATTATTTCCAGTATTTTCAGTCTTTGTAGTAGAAGAGCCAAATAATAAACAGTGTATTAAGACAGGAGAGTTTTTTACTTGTCCAGTTACCATTTGTTCCTTCAAAGATACAGCATGTTCTCATTATTGTTATTGGTAACACACAGAATGTGAATCGTATGAAACAAATTTCGTCTGTTACCAATCAAGAGCTGAAGATTATGCAGGAAGACCTCACTTTCAAATCAAATGAAATGCAGAAATCACAGAGCACTGCTAAGAATCTGATTACAGGTGAGACTAGCAATGAATTTTTCAAATTCATTCCTTAAAAAAATAAAGATTACCTGAGTTATTACACTAATAACAAGTACAAGATCAGTGATCTCCAGATATTAAGATACAGTGGCAAGTTGACAAATTGAAACTCTTGTGGGTTACAAGTTATTTACATTCCTTAGGAGTATTTCACTTACTATTACCAGGAAACCATTCCTTAGGAGTATTTCACTTACTATTACCAGGAAACAATTAGCTTACTTGCACAGATACATGTTAAACAGATGTGTTCTAATGCAGGGGTACAAAGTTCTTTGAGCTAGAAGTTGGACTTTACTAATATTCACCTTAAAATAAACTTTTTTCATTATCTTAAAATAGTGTTTAATACATTGAAGTAGAGACTTCCACAGTTATATAATCATGTATTATTTGTAAATGTAGTTCTTAGTATCACTTATGGTTTGTGCTTTTCTAAAGGGTTATGTGCTATGGGAAAAGAACTGGCAGCACCAGTGAATAGTTTTCGAATTCTGAGGCTTTGATTCACCAAAGTGAATATTCATTTTGACTTCATTTTGGAAATACTCAAATACTTAACATGAAGAGTAAGAATCTGCAGTATCTTGCCTGTAATTTCGAAAAGCAGACAGTATTTTTCTTTCAATTCCGTAACAAGTATCTATTTAGCTCTTTATTTGCACTGTTCATAGTGGAATTGTTCTCATAATTCTAAGCCTTTGCCAATATCATTATTGGTTCAGCAAGGCTTTCCTTGTTTGTTAGGCTGAAAGGAAGGGGCAGGAATTAAGAACCATAAATCATTTTCTTAGAAGGCTATTACGTGCTGTACTTGGTAGTAACTTTCAAAATAGGAGCCTGTCTTGTAACTTCAAAGGAGTTATGTGCAAAGAAGTTGTTATGCACAAAGTGTTACAGAAATAGATCGTTCTGTTGTTTGTCTGAACATACTATGTTCGCTTATCTGCAAATACTCATTTTGCTGTTCTAGTGTAGTTTAAAAAGCTGGGCCATACATTACGAGTTCAAATACGGCTTTTTGTTCTTTTGCGTAAGCATAAATTCTTATTACTTTACAATATAAGGATGTTCCAGAAGCACATAACATTATAGAGGCATTATTGAAAGACATATTTCTTTCTTCACAAGAGGAGAGAAGGAAGTTACAGTACATAATTTTCAGCAGATCATTTAAATGATTCATTAGTAAACTTCTTAAAGCAAGGAGTCACAGATATCAAAATAAACAACTTAAGATTCTGTCAAAAATACAACGAATGTTCAATTTGCACAGTTAAAGTTCTTCCTAACCCTCTAATTACAGCACAGTCGTCTTCAGGATTCTTTTGTTGTGATTAAAATCTGGATTTCCATATTTTCTTGCTGTAACAAAGATATAAAAAGTCCACCAGCAGAACTCTGGGGAAAAAAAAAAAAGGAAAGGAAACCGTGAAGAGTAAACAAAAGTGCTGATGGCATAGTTTCCCAAAAACATTTCCCTGGGTCACTGTAGTTTGGTCTGAGAGTTTGCTACTGTGTACACACTGCCTGCTAGACGCTGAAACTTCATGGCGTATCAGAAGGAACAGGGCTGCATCCTCTTCCTGTCTCTTCCCCTAGAGAAGTTTGGAGGTTTTTCAGTTTTGAGTTTTTTTCATTGAGGCTATTGCTGGATAAGGATAAAATTCACCCCTTCCAGTTTCTTCCCTTTTCTCCAGAAAGTGTGAACAGATAGGAATAGCCCATTGCTGTCTCACCATAGTTTTTATCAGTGTATAGATGGAACCATCTAAGAATCCTTTCTGGCTTTTTGGTATTTATGTTGTTATTACTCCTTACATGTAAATAAATCCCAGTTGGTCAACTATGTATTATTTTTAAGTAACAAAAGATAAATATTAGAACAACTGTATAAAAAGCAAAAATGCTGTGATTAGGCCTAAATAAATCCTTAAGGAAATATAAAGTTGTTTTCTGCTATTTCTCTCCAATTTGAATTATTTTTATTTTATAGTTATATTTTTTACTGGTTTTCATGTTGAAGCCCTAAACTTTTGAGGTCCTTAAGCATTTATCTGTCTTTAAACCACAGTGCTGTAGGAACAAGAGAAGTAGAGCTGTAGTCTTTTCGGTTGTGTTTTAGGATCTGACATTGACCAATATCAGGAACTTCAAAGTGAAACTATGGGCAGTTCTGAAACATTTTAGACACAGGAAAAGTGTTTTCTTAAGCCCTTTAGAGTGGAGGAGTAGAGCATAAACATTGAATCACAGACAGGCAGTGCAGTTCCAAGCCTTTTATTTTTAAACCCTTCTTTTTACTGGTATGAAAATATGCTCTTTGCACATACAGGACCCTTTCAGTCTTACCTTATGGAAGTGTGTTCCTCAGGATAATTATATGTTGTACACAAAAATCTTGGCTTTTTTCTTCAGTTCAAGGTTCCTAAAGAAATCACCAAAGCACTCTGTAATAACCAGAAATGCTGATTAAAGCCAGTATTTCACTCTAAAAAATGAGTATATGGCATAAATACACCAGAGGAGAGATGAGTACCAAATCTTGCTGTGACAGGGTTTTGATCAGATGAGATTGTCCCAAATAATTCCACCAAAGAAACCACACCCACAGTTTTTAGAAAGGTGAACTCTCATGCTGTCAGATACACGTATCCACTCGCTTCTGCCATGAAGTTCTACACTGTCTTTATTAAGTTGGGGGGGAAATTTCCTACTCTTTTTCTGGTGATCAGCACAAACCTGAGTGTGTGAGCAAAAAACAGCGTCTATGCTGAGAGAAGTTTGTGCTCATCCCTCCTACTAGCCCACTTTGCCTGATATTTTGGAATGTAGAAAAAAGCCCTGCATTATTTGTATCGTTCTTCTGAGTTAAGACACAGCTCTGAAACATAAGATTATGTAGCCACATGTTTAAATGTTCAGGAACACGAAGAAAATACAGCGACACGGCTGCAGGCCAGAAAACCATCCAAACCAAGTCTAGCCACATCTAGTCCTTCCACACTCAAGGTGGATAGCGTATCCCCAAAACTGGATCAAAGTATATTTTTTATGTTGTGTACCTTTATTGTGTCCTCTCGTAAGCATCTCATGTCTGAAGAGTTTCAGTCTTTACATCTCTCTTTGTGTAAGAATCATCCATACTTCCAAGTCCTTTAATTACCTATATCTCCATTGTTTCTTTTTACTGGATTGTCAGAAGTAAATGCTGTTACATTGTAGTACATGCTCATTTTGTAAGCTACAACAGGGCTTATTCTGTGAACCTATGGAAGTCTTTTCCTGTACAGAGCAAATGTTTAAAGCGAATTTGTCTATTTACTGTTATAAAACTAATTCTTATCATATATCAGCAACACAAATAAAATAACGTGATGCTAAAAAACTAACAAAAATAATTTTTATAAATGTCTGCATTGTTGCAGTGAACTTTTTGTAAGGTATCACCACTGCTTTACTTGAAATTTACTGATGCTATAACCAACTTTAACAATAGAAATACCACACTGTGATATAGAAAATTACCACATTTTCTTACTCTTCAATTATAGAGTATAATAGAGTCATTGTAATACAGGAGAATTACTTATGGGATGATAGTGAAGATCAAATTTTTTTCCTTCAGTCACATTAACTTTCACGTGAATATCAAAATTAGAAAGCTATGCAGGAGCTGTTTGTATTGCTTAAGTATAACATCAGCCTTTATATATTGGGCAATGTATTATGAAATAAAAAGTGCTGTTAATTAACGATTGTGTATCTGGTGATCTAGAGAGTCAAAAACTGCAGATGGACCTACAGAAGATGGAACTCTTGGAGGGCAAGATGGTTGATGAACTGGCTTCTCTTAAAGACAAAATTGAACAAACCAAAACTGAGTTGGAGGTTTATAATAATTTGCCAGCTCTGAAAGCATCAGGAGAGGAGAAGAAGAAGGTAATGAAAGGAATGAAACCTTGGACTGTAGAGAATTTGTGTGGTTTTGAGCACCTAGTGGAGGGGAATCCAGCTTTCTGACTGTGAATCCTGACTGATAGCTGAAATCTGGGCTTGCACATCAGTGCAAAGGAATCCAAATGCTTCTCTTCTTATATATGTGACTTATTAACTAGGTACATACTGCAGGCTATCAGCTGGATACCTTTTGATAACTTCCTTCCATAAAATTTCCTATTTATTTTAGTGATTCATCTGAACTTTTCTGCTATACCTGATGATTACCCATAAGTTTGAATTTAGCAATCTAACCACAGAGCCCAAACTAAAAAGAAAAATCTATCATGTATGTATTTGCTTTAAGACAAACTCCATCTAGCGCACTTCCCATTTCACATGTGATAAATTTCCTACAAATTCTTAACATCAGCATTCCCACTTCTGCTGATATAGTAGGGTCTAAGCCTACAACTTGGTCATAACCGTTGAATATTATCTTTAGGATAGAGCATGCATTGCTAGAAAAAACCCTATGAGTTCTTTATGCATATTATCTTGTTCTGAAAGGAAGAAAAAGTAGCATCTTGAAAGCTGAATTAAAATAATTTGTCTGTAGCCCACAGTGAATGAACTCATCCATTAATTGGTTTGTGTTGGGTTTTTTTTCCAACTAGAGACTCCAGGATGACAAAGAAAAATTAACAAAACGTAGCCATGCTTTCAAGAAAATAATGGAGCATTTGAACACAGAGTATGAGACACTAAAGAGAGAGCTGCAAGAGAATGAGACACATTCTCAGGTATAGCTCAAGCTACATACTATCTCTTCAGTTGGTTCCGTTGCAGTTCAGGTTTTCTCACACACATGAAGCATTGTATGGATGGAATCAGTTTATTCCTTCTCAGGGACTTTTCAAAGTTATGTGTTGCAAATGCATAGCCATATTTTTTTGTGTTCAAACAAAGGTTAATGTTGTGCCAATAAATTTCTTGTATGCTTTGGATTTCAAAGTTACTAGGCAGAGGTCTATCTGAGCTTTAAAATTGTGTGAATCCTTTGTTTAAGTGTTTGTACTAATCTTGCTCAGAACTCTCTGCCTTTTGCCCTTCCTTTGCTTGAGAAGTTTTGAGGACCAATTTAGAAAGAAACTACAGCAAAAAAAAGTCACTTCTAATTACATAAGATCCCTTTTTTAGCTAAGATCCCTTGTAAAGTTATGGTGGTAAGTTTTTTCTTGCAACCTGTGCTATTAATTCCATTTGCCTTTTTGCAATCCTTCTGCTCCTTGCAGGCCACTGAAGTTTCAGGGTTTGTTCAGACTTCTTTAAACCCAAGGAACTTTGGTATATGATTATACTTACATTTACATTTCAAAAGTGAGTCAGGATAGAAAACATTTATAAACACTTGAGCAGCTTTAATTCTTCCATTATAAAACCCCACAAATTGCTGTCATGTTGGCAACAGAACTTTACTGGCTTATAGGTTTGATTGAAGGAAAATGGATAACCTCAAAATAAGCTGAAAAATGGAAATTGATTATTTTCTGTGTGTTTGCTGGATTTTTATTATTTCAGGTTGTTGAGATCTTTGGCCTTTAAAACTGTTACTTTTTTCTAATTAGCTAAAAGCTGAGGTGATATTTGTACATATTTAAGCTAACTTTCTTCTGGAGTGAACTTTGTGGAGTGGATGGGGCATATTTCTAATTGAGGAGATACACGTAGACTCAGAGCATATGATCATTGTGGGCTAACTCTAGGGTGATGATAGAAATCCCCACAGCTGCATGCTAAAGTCTGCAAGACTTCAGATGTTGTATAGGTTTTATGCCAAAACCAGATTCTTATTCCTAGAGATTATTCGAATCAGAAATGGATACCCCGACAGCATTAAGATGCTTGCATAATGATGCTAAAAAGTTTATATGAAACAGTAGCTGTACAGTATTTCTTCAGTTAATTAAGCTGTGGCAGTTCTATTTCAGCACATGCAAAAAGGATTTATTTCTTTGCTTTTTATGTCATGAGTGTAAGTGTGAACAAAGGTATATCTTAAAATGGCCAATTAGTTGACATGCATCTTGCATTTTGAAGTACGAATAGCGTTTATGTATCTTGAGGGTTTGGGTGATTTTGCAAGCAACCAATTGTATGAGTTGTGGCATTCAAGGAGTTAATATTTTTATGCACGGACCTTCATTTTCATGTACTTAATATTTCCTTTGGTATATATATCAGTATTTTAAACCTAGGCTCCCTTACCGGCTGTATTGCATGTAGCAACATCTGCAAAGGGGGCAATAAAATTAGAATTGGTCAGAAATATCGTATCTTGGAAAAAAATGACTGCCATGTTTGCTGTGAACCAGTACAGTAGGTAACTGATTATTCACTGTGAGATTTATTTTGAGTAATATATCAACTACTTTCTTATCTTCTAGCCTAAGAATAAGCTTTTAAGTAAAATGTTGCAATATTTTCCCAATTTATTACCTTAGTTTCCACTAAAAGTTTAATCTCAGAGTGATTTTCAGTGTTTGCATTTAAAAATAATATCTGCATATCTTGAAATGCAGAACTTTGAACAAGTAGCATCAGAAAAACAAATATTATAAAATTCTATTGTAAGGAAGCAGCCATCGATATAATGTCCACATTAGTTTCCTGTTGATGCTGAAAGTATTGAAGAAGTGCCAGCACTTAACCCACACTCCTACAATCTTCTCGCTCCAGCTCTGTTCTTATCACAGCTTCTGGCATCAGACAGGAAACTTTAACTATGGAAGCGAGGAAGTTTCTTCTGTGTAGCTCAAAGTCCAAGACAGTGTCAGGAAATATTGTATCTTTGGTGATTTTAGATCTTACTGATTTTAAGAAGAGATCATTTAAGTGGTATGAAATATAATGAGAGTTAGTATCTCCCTGCAGTATTCACCTTTTTACTTCTGACTTGCTTACACATTTCCCTGTATGACGAGTCTTGAATTCTCAGTCTGATTTTTTCCATCTAACCACTGCAGTTGCATGCAGTGCTTTTATATAAATAGACACATGAAGTCCTAAGTTATATAAAGGTTAATCGTTGGCAGCTTTAAAAATCATTTTGCCATTGTTTCTCATTTCTGTGGTTTTTTTGTGAAATAACTTTGATCTTATCAGATGATAAGAGTACAAGGTATTGATACAACATTTTTGGGAGATTCTTTGTATAAGTACATGTTTAATAATTATTGTTTTCATTTTTGGCTCTTTTTGTGTTTTCAGCTTACAAATTTGGAGAGGAAGTGGCAGCACCATGAGCAAAATAACTTTATGATGAAGGAATGTATCCTTTACTTTAAGAAATACAGTAAAATTCATGCACTGCATTAATTGAGGAAGAAGTCTGTTTCCTCCAGCAAAATAAGACAGGACGGAATGGGGAGCAGGAGACAGGGAAGGAGGGGAAAGGTGATGCTTTGCAAATGTCTGTTTAGCTGATAGATCTTATATATAGCAAAACTAGCATGTGCTGTCTGAAACAATTTTATGGGGTCCTGAACCGTAAGATTTGTCCTGCAGTCTGGAGTTTTTCCTGTTGGGTCAGTTTTGCCACTAGGTTTCATACAAAGATCAGCTTCACGTCTCTCCAGCAGGTGTAGCATTGTTTGAAAACCTGTATGGCATGGTGAGTTTGCTTGGTATTTTGCAGTTTTAAAACAACATAAATATCAATGATGAAAACATAAACAACAAATCATATGTATTTAATGTATTTCTTATCAAATAAAAGAGGAATGGCCTGTTAGAGAGGAAAAGATCAGATAAATGTGGTACGATAGGGCAAGGAGATGCTTTAGCTGCAAAATGGGCTGCAATGGGGGAACTGCATTGTAGCTCTCCTGTTATGTGATGCTAATTAGTGTTACATTCCACTAATCACGTAAGACCTTCCCAAACATCAGCAAAATCTTATTTGCTGCAAGTGACTTTCATAAGGTAGTTTTTGAAATTAGCAAAAGCACTGAAGCTTTTTTAATTAGAATTGATGGTTCTTGTTATCTTGTACTGTTCTCCATCATTATTGTAGAGATCTGGGTAGGGCATAGTTGCACTTTTATATTCTAGGGACTTAGAATGCACTGCAGTAAATTCACTTCTTTCAAATGATTTAGGAAACAGAAAATCTGAACTCTCAAAGATGCCTGGAATTACTGTTACTACGTGATTATAATACAAATGTAAGTGGTAAAAGTAACAGCCAAACTAGACCGTATCATCCAGTGTTGTGTGTTAGACAATGGACATTGCTACATGTCTCAGAAAATGGCACAAGACTGTATTTCAGGCAATTCTGTAATAGCCTAGCCATCAGGGAAAAGAAAATAATAATACAGGATCTGCATGTAGCATTATCTTTTTCATATACCAAATATCCCATTTCTTGTATCTGGTAAGTGCTCTAATTCTTAGAAAAAGTCTGAAAAAAGTCTTGGACAAGGTAACATAATTGGAGCCACCTTCTCTACAGGAATATTTTATTCATGCAAGTATCTTAGATCCTATTTTTTTCTAACACAAAAAACTCTAGAACCAAGAGAAAAAGTTGATCAGGATATTAACAGCCCCTCCTAACTTGCCTCAATGTAGCAAGGCAAAGCGCAGGCTCTGCTACAGAGTTTTCTGTCTTCTGTGGAAAGAAAGGTCCTGCTTTCTTGGGCTGGGACTTTGTAGCTGGAGTCCAGCAGTGCCAAACAGTATGGCTGTAAATAGCTGAGTGCTTTGAAATGGTTTTGTTTGCAACGTAACAATGGGCAGAGTCTTCCACAAGGGACCTACTGCCTATATATATGAAAACAAAACTGACTCTTGCATGTAATCTCTTTTTTTTTTACCATGCTTGGCATGAGATGGCAGCTAGTAAATTGGTATAAATCTTTCAGACCCAGTTTGCGTTTTTTCCACTGTTTGCAACCCTTGACAGTTTTCACAGAACCACTGTATTATCGTTCCTTTCTGATCTCTAATTATGCTAATATTTATACTGGCACCTTGTTTCCTTAATTCTTTTAATCAGTCATAGCAACGAAAAGCCAGGAGAGTGACTACCAGCCAATAATGAAGAACGTGAGAAAGCTGGTCACAGAATACAACAAAGCTCTCATAGAAGCATTACAGAACACCAAGAACTGAACCCCGGCACTTCCTTCCTGCCCCAGTGGACCAACAATGGGAGATGTGCACAGGCAGTGTGGAAAGCTGGGCTATGGAGCTCGTTTGCTCACCACTACAGTGGTAGATACTCTTAAAAGTTTTTTTCCAGGTTTTTAGAAGTCATGGGTTTTGATAGTATCCCTTCATTTGCAACGTTAAAAAAAATTAGAAATAAACTGAATTTTAGACACCTGTAGAAACAAAAAGGAAAAACTGTACAATGAGTGTAAAATCATCAGAACATTTTACTGAGGCCCATTGCTGGATTGCATCTCAAGTGCGAAACTTCAGTCTGCTTTACACAACGAATCTCTGATTGTCTTGTAGTCCTATGCCTGCCAAACGGAATAGGAGCTTTCCCTGAATAAGGACTGCCTGACAGGCTCTCATACACAATATCTTAAATGAAGTCTGTAATAAGATAAATGGTAATAATCAGCATACCATCCCTATTTAAATAGCCATTTATAATGGGTAAGGAAAACACCTAAGGATAACAAGCATCCTTTTAAGTCAGAATTGCTTCATAGTATAAAGCCTTCTAATAAAAGCAAATGTACTTTGGATCTGTCAGCAGATTTTCACTTCCCAGTGGAGAACTGATCAACTTATTTTTTATTTTTTAATGTAACTTTAAGGAGAGAACTGTGATAAAAAGTAGTGAAACAGAGCTAATACTGACCTTGTGCAGAGTATTTTACTTTTGTAGTATTCACCAATAAAGACTATAACAGGGAAAATTACTTGTATTTTCTGCAATGGCTTTTTTCCTCAGGTTTCAAGCTGTAACATCATATGCAACCTCTACTTTGACAAAAATACATAGAAATAGATTCAACATAGAACAAAACCAGGACTGATACAGAAAAAATAGTGTGCTTTATAGTACAGAAATTTCAGAAAATGTTTACATGAAACAAAATTTCCACATGTATATTTCCCTGACATTCTATATGTCATATAATTATAAACTACCTGTTGCTAATTTCCTCTACCTGGTATGTTATAAGCTAGTCCTGATCAAAGAGAATAAAGCACAGCTGATTATAGGTAGGAATCTTAGCCAGACAGTAACCTAGCCTTTTACAGAAAATAATAAAAAACAGTGGGGTCCTGATTTATGGTTGTTCTGCTCTTTTAGAAAAGTTTTCTGAAAAAGAAGTAGACTATATGCTTCAAGAATTAGAAAATGCACTGAGTCCGTTAAAATAGAAATTCTGTATTTTTGTCACTAAATATCTCCAAATGTGTGACTGCCATTTTGAGTATAAAGAGGTATATAACACAAAAATATTGAAGGTACTTTCAGAGAGCACTGTGTTTCCAAATTCAGCACAGCAAATGCTGTTGCTCCACATATTTATGTCTGTATAATATTTACAGATAATGGAACAGGATTTCTATAAACCAAGGACCGTTATCTAGGGGAAATTCCCACTAATGTCTCTTCCTTCCTGTCAAAGTTTCAGCTATTCCAGAGAGAGCCCATAATTTGCTGAGATAAAGTTGAAGTCTAATATTCCCACCAATCAAACCATCAGCTGGAGAAATCGCCTCCTGAATTCCACTTGTGCTACAATAACATATTTTAATGAACAATGGAAAAAAGCTGCAGGCTGAATAAACAGACTGCTTTAAATTTGCTTGCACTCAGGGCAGGGGATGGTTTTATTCCTTGGTAGTGGTTCTGTAAGATAGCATGGTGAAATGTGCAGGGTTTTGTTGCACTTCCCGGGAGATGCCTGTCATAAAAGCCCTCTCTCCAGCATGCGCTTCTTTTCCTTGTTCTGTTGAAGATTCTCCAGATCGTTTCTGTCTGAGAATCTTCTCAACTGTTCCTTCATTTAACAGTTCATCCTTATGGTCCTGGGTCATGGTCATAGTACCCATGGCCAAAAAGAACTATATGGATTCTAAATGGTGAGCTACGCAGCAGGCATTTAATCTTTCTCTGGGAGGTTAATAACTCATTCCCAGCAGTGAGACAGGTAAAGCGTATCCATACCTACCTCCTAAAGTCTCAGTGAAAATAACCTTTTCTTTACCTCTTTTTATCTTTTTTTTTTTTTTTTTTAAATACAAGTTTAAGTACCAGACAGCATTTTTTCACAGAGTTCCTGGATGTGTATCATAGAATCATAGAATGGTTTTGGTTAGAAGGGACCTTTGTAGACCGTCTAGTCCAGCCCCCCTGCCATGGGAAGGGACATCTTCAACTAGAATCATAGAATCAAGACCCTAATTCAGTAATGCAGGTCTCTCTACCAAGGCAGTCTTTTACGCTTTTTCTGCTATGACTTCAACCTGAGAGGATATTAATGAAGTGGCAGCATCTATGGGGTGGAGAAATTGAAAACCTTTTCTGCTCACCCCGTCTCACCAGGGCTGAGCAAAGGTAAGGATCACCTACCCCAGCCTGCTGGCAGTGCTCTTCTGAACACACCCACATGCTGTTGGCATTTTTTGCCGTTTGTTTTTCACTCATGGTCAGCTTGGTGTCCACCAGGAAGGACCCTCAGGTCCTTCTCAGCAACGTTGCTTTCCAGCCACTCAGCCCCCAATGTGTATGGGTGCCCAGGTTGTCCCTCCCACAGGGCAGGACTGCATCTTTGTGGATTTACCTCCATAGAACTTCATGAGATTCCTGTCTGCCCATTTCTTCAGCCTGTTCAGGTCCCTCTGAACAGCCATCAGGTACATCAGCCACCCCTCCCAGCTTTGTATCATCTGCAAACTTCTTGAGAGTGCGCTCTGACCCAGCATCCAAATCATTAGTGAAAAGTTTAGACAGTATTGGCACGAGTATCCACCCCAGCTGGCGTCCAGCTGGACTTTGGGCCACTGATCACACAAGCCAGTTTTCAGTCCACCCCACTGTCCACTTATCTAACCTGTACTTTGTCAGCTTATCTGTGAGGATTTATGGGAAACCATGACAAACACCTTGCTAATGCTGAGGTAGACAACATCCTGAAGATAGGAGTGACATTTGCCTTCTTTCAGTCTTCAGAAGCCTCTTCCTATCAGCATGAAAAAACAGATAATGGAGAATGGCCTCGCAGTGCCATCAGCAGCTGCCTCTGCACAGGTGGGCAACAAGCCCCATGGACTCACGTATATCCAGTTTGTTTAAAAGTTCCCTAGCCTGGTCCTCCTCCAGGAAGATGCCACAGAGGCATTAGTATACCAGGTTTGGCAGCATCTGTCACTCCAAATCCCACTTCACTGACACGCTGCATGGAAATGAGCATTTTGGTTTCAAAATCTTCCACCAAAGGGTCTGTTATTTCTATCTTGTCACTGTGCTTTGCATGAGAATGAACGTAGGAATGACTGTCCTTTTTCCCAGCTCATCATGGGGATGACACTGCACCAACCTTGTTCCTGTGTTTAGGGATATCATGTCTCCAGGCAAACTGTATTTTTGCTGCGGGCAAGAGTTAATCCTCCTGCTGGTCTTCCTGCTTCATCTTACCTTCACTGCTTTTCACTGTGATCAAAAAAACCTTATTTTTCTTTCAAAATCAGTTGATTCCTTCCCTTGTGTTAGTGAGTTTAGAAGACAACAAGCAGCATTCCTGTGAGCAATTCCAGACAGGCAGAACACTGAGAGTCTTTTTTAGTTCTTTCTGCCTGATGACATTGGTTAACGTTAATGCTTCTTGGTGCTGGTATGTGCAATTTCACAATCGGAGGGATATGTTTCCAAAGTGAAGCGGTTGTAAAGTCTCTCAGTATGCTTCTATGTCTCTGCCACAAGTGTAAAACAAAAACACAAGGCCTAAGGCAGACCCTGTGTAGAGGCACTAGCCATAAGTGTATCTCATTTTGAGGAGAACTATGTTAAAGTGCTTACTTTATAACTATTCTGCAAAGTATCTGCTTTGAGTGAACTCCTTGGAAACATGTCTCATAGGCATCTGGGTGGGGGGGATGTGGCAATTGTCCGGAGTGAAGAAAAAAACCCCTCGGATTCTGAAAGATCATAAAATCGGAGTTCATTTGCATGGTGAATACTAGCTGAACACTATATACATATATGTGTGTGAGTTATTGCCTATGCAGTAGGCAATAACTCCAGCCAGAGCAATCCTGTGAAATGGAGGTTAATCACTGGGAAGGGGGACTGAATTACTCCCGAACAAAATAGTTCTCATCTTTTTCTTCTTTGGTAAGAGGAAGGAAGCCTTTAAGCATTTCACAACTGCAGAGATGATCTGAATTCAAATCCCAGCCTTGATCAATCATTCGCTGGGGTTGGCAGAAGTTTAGAGCAGATGAAGAAATGATCTTTGCCCTGACTTGTGCTCTACAGTTGCAGGTTCTCCTTTCAGGAAGGAGGACTAACTGGACAATATGCCAAATGTGTGAAATGGAGGAAGCCTCCCACATCTAAAAAAAAAAAAAAAAGAGCCAGAGATGTAAAATGATCCGCTCTTGTTTCCTCTTGTACAGCTAATTCCTTGAAAGCTACATTCATTTAAAGTGACTGAGCTTGATTCACTGAGCACTGGTATCTTTGGATCAGACCCAAGATTTCTCCTGTATAGCAAAGGATGAGTAAGATGCAAGACCTGTCTCCAACATACAAGGCAAGTTTGCCCAAAAATGCTATTTCAAGTGGGGTGAGGGGGACTCAGCACCTCTGAAAATTAGAAAGAAAAAGAAAAAAATTATCGTAGAAGAAATTATCAATAGTATCAGTCACCCCAACAGTTATGCATGGGGGACAAAATCCCAAATAAAGCCTTAAAATTTCCAGTATCCTTCCTGTTCCTTCCTTTTTTTTTCAAATTAAATGAAGAGAGGGTGTTTCATGGCTTGGACTTTTCTTCAAGTTTGCTGTATTTAATAATTTTTTAGGATTATTGATCTGCAAGTTACTGAAGTTCTTTACGCAAATCCACATTTTAACGTCCCACCTTAAGATGAGATGTGCACGTCTTTCATGCTTCTGTATTTCAAGAATTGCTAAAACTATATTGTTCAAAAAATTGCCATTTAGCAATCTTTCACACAGAGAGAAGACTGAAGTGAAAGCTGGAGTGCCCAAGAGAGGGAACTGTTACACTGCAGCTCACCAACAGCACACATGTGGCTCTTCTGCATCAGTACAAGGTTTTAGCCAATGCCAGTGTGACATAAATTTGGAAGCAGAGCGAGGTAGATAGCAAACACATCACTAAGCTGCATGTGTTGAATGCTGGTTCAAGGTAAATGAAGTTAAATGATGCAGTCATCAAATAAAAATTACCATTAGAGTCACATTAGCAGTGTGAGATTAATTCAGTGGAAGATGGTTGGTCCTGCAAACGGGATTTTAAGAATTAATTTTGGTAACCTTAATGGTTGAAAACACTAACCCCAAGATCTAATTAGCAAGGCCCATTTCCTGGTCCTTGGAAGCAACAGTCAGATCTGCAAACTTCAAATGCATTAAGTGGCTTATGCAGTTAATCTTTATGTCTCCAAATTGCACAGATGTGAAATTTGCCTCATTTATGCCGGGCTACTTTAGGAAGTCATATTTTATCACTGTGCATCATTTGGGGTGATTCAGTGTTAATATCTTAAAGACATTCGGATATACAGTTGTTACGCTTAAACATAAATACACAGGCTCATTCCTCCTTCAAAATGTATGTAGAAAAATTAACTGGAAAAGCAGTAACAGAACAGAGGAGAAAAATTGTGAACTCTGTAGCTTCACTATGAGCTCTGCTTACCTCC